GGCGGGGGGGGGGTCTCTCCGTCCCATATCTTGCTTCAAATGGGATCACACACCGTCTCCTCGTCAGGGTCAGTGAGGGTTTTACACGCACACGGAAAAAACTCGTGAGATTTGATTTTTGAAACGCGGCAAAAACAATCGAGATGGCTTACAAAGCTGGAGACAATGAAAAGTTTTGCAAAATTAACATTAAAAATGTTCCATTACAGAAATAATTTTTTAATGGAAAAGAAGTTAGCCCAGTTACCAAAACATTAACTCTCGAAGAATGCGCTAGGACGCAGCCATGTTGCATGTTGCTTGCTACAAATAGCTTGTAGCAATAACCGGTACGGTTGTACGTTCTCGGCGTTAGAGCGGCCAGTCCACGAAAAACAAATCGAGCTGTTTGTGAACATTCGAGATCTCGAGAACAAGTCGCCCGAACTCAGCCATGGTCCAGCACGATCGTGACATCACAGGAAAAAGGTCTATACAAAACATGAATCATGCGCTAAGAATGTGAAATCCTTTCCACTGCGCAGAATGGGGCCACGCCCACGAAGAATACAACAGGTGGTTTACAACGCTACCAGCATGCATGTAGTTATCGTGCTTCTAGAGGGCGCCATGTATGTACCAGCCACGAAACCACCACACAGCGGTGCGGTCGGCCACTGACCAAACTTTTTTATTATTTTGCGACCGCAGCTAGCTGAGTATGCCTAGCCTTTGAGCGTGAGTGCACTTGTCATGTCCGTAGTCGAGTTGGAAGCACTTATACTTTTTGTGACGTTACATTTCCCAATCCCGTGGAGCACATAAACTTTAACTCACAACATTTCCTGAAGTATTTATTAGAAGCAGGACCTAGTGAAGTAGGTTGGGTGACATCTCACAGTAGTGTTTTACTCATCTGTCCGTCTGCATGTGGTGGGAATTTCCGGAGGACATTCGTCGACAAGTTGCTGTGGATGTGTAAACGGTTGACGGGTGGAGCAAGGAAGCAGAGGTCCATGTGTGCATGATATACCGGTAAGTCGTCATGTTGTAGGCTAATTTATGGTTCTGATGGGGGAGGATTCCATTCACAGACATCACTAATTTCTCCCTACATTAGTATACCAGTCATCAGAGAGTGATAACATGTTCTAAAGAGTCAAATTTTAACAGGGAAATAAGCATTCAGCCCTGGACCTACGGTACCTAAAAATAAGAATTTTTTAGGAGACGTATACTATAGTAGGTTTGTGCATCGGGTGTCAAGATGAAGTGATGTTCAGATGGAACTCGTTCCCCTGACATCAAAACGAGCTGCAAAAGTACCTAGTTTTGCTGTAGCATCATGTACCTGGGGGTACATGTAGTAACATATTTGTTTGTTTTTGAGTTTGTTGAAGGGATTTTTTGTATGAAACATTTTTAAAACTTATTGAGGACTGCAGAATACATTGGGCCTACATGTACATATGCATGATATGTACATTCAACAAATAACAGAAGAAAGTGTGGAACTTGTTTTCCCTTTTCTTTTGTTTATTTTCATTCTTTGCTTGAAGATGTGTACACTTTCTGTGTTTGTTTTCTTCTTATTTGGTATTGTTCAGAAATTTATACGGTATATTCGATTTTATCTTCAAGATTTGTAAAGGTTAAAGTGCAAGATTAAAGTTTATTTGTTCGCAAAGACAAGTATTGGAATGTGTTGCAGCTATGTGATAAACATTTCAACTTCAAGATTTATGTTCACCTTTAAAGACAACACATGTTATACTTTAAGCAGTGAGGTGTCCATTAAATGTTACTGCTCTTGAAGGCAATGGCAACACTTTGACATACAATAGGCCACTCTCAAAATAGTTTTTTTTTCAAAGCTCTTTTGTCATGGAGACAGCTAACATCTAGAATTGTGAAACCAAACTTTGTGACCTTGATTGTGTACAATTGTTTGAATGTTGCAGCTCGTATTGTTGGATTTTGATAGGTTCAACTGTACTTCAGGTTTGATAGATCTACAGTAGACTTTCAACAAAGTGAACTGCATCAAGTGCTGTTTCATTTGAATCTTACATGTACATGTGTGTGTACATGTTTGTAACAACAGAATCCATAACTTGTTTGCCCTTTAATTTTTGTTTATTTTGGGGGGTTTGATTTTTGAAATTTAAGACTTGAGATTGGTACATGTACAGTGTGGATACCGGGCAGGCATACATTGTACACGTATCACAGTAGTGTATGATTTAAATGTTTTTAACCGAGGAGGGACCAACTTTACAAACTGATTTTGACCAAAATTAGGTACAATGGTACATTGTACAGTGTGTATATTTGGAAATTAACATGCATTACACTGACTTCAGTTGGTGTAGTGCAGATTAATTGATTATTAAGTAAAAAATAACTGTGATGTTTTATTCTGCATCAGCCGAATTTCATCCATGGCCGTTAAATTTTTGAAAACTCTTAGATAAACATCATGACCGATTTCGAAACCCACATGTTGGCAGTAACTCTGAAGTTTTTGTTTGCGCACACTTGACATACCTGCGTATATCTAAAGAATTTTTTTTTTTATCACAGATGTCAAACCTGACTCAGAAACCAGACTCTGAACTTTGTACCCCCAGTCTGAATAATAGCGAGATATTACTTCCGATTGAGTAAGCCCTGTCTGTGGGTTGCCAGTCGCATGTGCATGTACATGTACCTCAAGTGCCGACAGCTCAGGAGGGAGATAGAGACCGTGGGAAACTGGCGTGGGTAGTTGAACCCACAACAGTAACCCAGCCTCCCTTGCCTTCAGACCGTCCAATCAAGGTCAAATAGCCAGCGAAGAAAATTTGATAGATGCAGGCATGTGGTTGCGAATTGGGTAATCGGTTGTTTCCCAGGCCCCTGTGGCAACACTTTACCTTATCATTTGCTAGTCTGATAGGGTTAGTTGGCGGGTTGGGAAAATACGACTGACAAGTTCTGACTTGAAATGATGAAAATTACTTAACCCTAACCCTCCTCAATCCTTCACCTGTTGGAGGACTGAGGAGTGTTAGGGTTAAAGAATGAATATCAATGCAATGTGAGTTTTTTGTGCTAATTTTTTTTTGAGGGGGTGTGAGGGATAGGGAAGGGAAGGGGCAAAGCTTTGGGAAAGTTATTGAAAAGTGTCAATTTTCATTGATAAAGACTGGTGAAGGGAAGTAGACAAGCTACACAGTACATGTCTCCAGAAGGTATTTGTGAAAACTATCTTACCAAATTGGAGTGACTGGTTTTGTAGGCTACATGTAAGTGAGTTTCTATGAATAGTTTTTAGAGGAACAGGGTCTTAAATATTTAGGTTGAAGAGGAAAAGGGTAGGCCTTACTATTGCAAAACAGGATAAAAACCCTCTCCCAAATTTTCCGGAACTGTGTGCACCAAAATGTCTGGTTGGTTGCTTTGTTTCACTATTTGAGAAAATGCACGGGTGTGTGTTTGGTCCATGATTCCATGAAATGTTTGCTGCTTTTAGTTCAAGGAAAGTCTACTCTGCTGGGATGCAGTCCCCTCCAGAGGCAGGAGTCGTAAATTACGAGTACAAGTACATGTACACTACATGTACATGTACGTGGATGCCAGCTCCTGCAGGAAACTTATTACAGGCGCGCCAACAAGGGGGACCACATTCTGACCCCCTGACCTGTCTGTAAATGCTGTTGCTGTAACCCTAGCCTTTTTTGTCAGTATTCAAACTTTCCTGGGGAAACAAATGATGGATGTTGCACTGTGGGTGTGCTTTCCCATATACATGTATTGTGTCAAGAATACTTTTTTCCTTGGTTGTTGATTGAAATGTGAATAATGGGGAAAAAAAGAGAATTTAAACAAAGTGACACTTGAGCCCCGGCAATTTCCTACTGGGCTCAGTGGCTTGTAACTTCTCTTGACAGTCACTAGTGTACCCGAGGAAACCTCATTCCCTTTCACCTCTAACTTGCCCTGAAGGATCTTGGTCCTTCATCATTTATGAAATCAATCAGTCTACATGGACAGATTTTTTTTAACTTAGCATTGCTTTCACCATTGCCATTTGCCCAGTTCAAGAATTCACAGGCAGTCAGTGTATCCCACAAAAGATTACAACAGTTACAAGAAATGCAGCTGTACATGATGTACGCTGTGTCTGGCTGATTCTCATTTTGAATGCACTCGGCCATTGTAAAATGGACCACTCATAAATGTTGTTGATGCATGCAGATTAGTTTTACAATTGTTGTTCGTTTGCGTATCATACATACCAGTATGTACAGTACATGCATGTGCGTCATTCAGTGTGTAAATGGTAAAAAAAAGTATTCATATGTGTGCGAGTACATTGTATCGGTATGTTGTACATACATGTAATTAGATCAAAATTTCAAAGTAATGTAAATCTTTCACTGTAGTGCCTACCTGAGACATGCACTGTACCGGCACAAGTTTGTAAAATTACAAGTTGTACTCTACAGTCCACTGGGATTCGTCAACCAGTAGCCTTCCGCAGACGAAAAAAGTATGCTGATCAGCAACGATCAGTCAACCACAGGTTGATTTTAGGCCTAGTTGATTTTGCCTTGTGTCCAAGATATAGTTGTGCACACATGTAGGTTACCAAGGGATTTTGACCAGTGGTCAACAAATGTTACTGATCAAACTTGGCCTGACCTGCTACACTGTACTAGTTAGTACTTGCTTAAAAATTCTCTGTGCATCCAGTTTAATCTACTGGAATCCGAGAACAGCACATTACATGTGTGAGGAAAAATCTGTAACAGCTAGTAAATATTCCCCAGTCACCAAGTAATAAAACTCTGTCACAGAATATTTCAGTCATTTGATTTCAGTAAAAAGTCTTCCACTGAATGACTGATGGATCAGTTTTTTCCAGCTGTCCCTTGTTCCTGGCAGGTTGCTGAATTAAGCAAAATCAGTTCTCCAGACAGGCTTGTCGTTTCATTCGGCTGCTTAGCTGCTCTTTCACCAGCTAGAGCCATCCAGATTTCTCATTGAAATCCTCGATCCGCACCAATGTCTCAGTAGTTTTTTCCCCTGGATTCAGTCAGGCCGGTGTGTTTGATGGCGGGTCCGATTGGATCTTAATACTTCCTGCAGGTCGTTTTAACCTGAACTCCAGATGCTTTAACAAAAAATTTGCCCTGGTTTGGGGAGGAGGTCAAGACTCTGACATCAACTGCATGTACACTTGTCTCGTGGGAATGGAAAGTCCCTTCCACAAGCAGTGAAGGAACTGAAGGAAGAAACATTGTAAGGTGGAAGGGGTGGAGAGTGATTTGATGAGAAAAGTCCAAATTTGTGTCGAGTTTAACAGAGAAATTTAGAAAAGTCGTGGTTGTGTACACCTACTGTACATGCATTTATGGACAGTACATTGCTAAAAGACATGTATATGAGCACCATGCACCCCAGTACCTGTAAGAGAAACTTACCGATACACACTCCAAAATTAAATGACTAAAGAAAAAAAAACACACTCGAAAATGATTTCAACTTGCCAGTTCTGTTGAATCCTCAAAGCATTCATTGACAACCACTGGACAAATTATATGAAAATATGACAGCAACTGACAGTACATGTACTGGTACCTGTAATTTTCCTAATTTGTCAGGGGCTGGGCACAGGTTGTTTTTATATCACTTTAAACATCCATTCTGTCACTTGCTGTTGCAATAGATACAGGTATCTTTGCCACCAGTGACCCAAACTACATGCAGTTACTTGTAGTCCCAGGGAGGGACAAGGTCATTCATCGAATAACCCTCATAATTCCTCTTGAGATGGCAGGTTCTCTCTCACATTACTGAAAGAAATTGCAGACCAGTGTGCGTGCATAAATCACTCCGTAGCCAGCAGTCTCCCCAATCCTGCTCTAACTGGTAGCTTCCGTGGCCTTACAATGTATCCTTGTGCTGTGCATGATTAAGAGACCATTCAGGCCAGAACTGAACGAGGGGAGAGAATAACTTCATAAATTTATATAATTCCAAAGCAATTA